AGTGATTCTTCCCCTCTATTCAGCACTGGGGAAGCCACATCTGGAGTCCTGTGTCCAGCTGTGGGCCACCTACTGCAGAAAGGATGTGGACAAGTTGGAGAGAGTCCTGTGGAGGGCAACGAAAATGGTTGGGGAGCTGGGGGACATGACTTGTGAGTAGGGTGACCATCTGTCCCAGTTTAGCTGGGACAGTCCTGTCATTTAAGAATCCAGTCCCAGCTGGCTGAGGAGAATTATAAGGGTGTCCTGGCAATGCAGAGGTGCAGGGCAGGGAGCCCGAGTGGCGCGACCTGGCTCGCAAGCAGTGGGCAGGCATGGTTGCCGCCTTGTGAGAGCATGGGGTGGGGGGCAGTGTCCCTGATGTCAGGGATGCACGTCCCAGGTATCCAGGATCTCCTTGTGGTCAACCTTCTTCTGAGGAGAGACTGAGGGAACTGGTCTGCAGAAGGGAAGACCTCAGGATTGAATAACAGGATTGAATAACAGCCATCATCTCCCTGCAGGGGGGCTGCAAAGAGGATGGAGCTGGGCTGTTCTCAGTGGGGGCAGATGGCAGGACAAGGAGCAATGGGCTCAGGCTGCAGCAAGGGAAGTTGAGGTTGGGTATTAGGATAAACTCTCACTAGGAGGGTAGTAAAGCAGTGGAAGAAGTTACCCAGAGTGGTGGTGGACTCTCCATCCTTGGAGGTTTTGAAGACCTGGGTAAACATAGCCCTGGCTGGGATGATGGAGTTGGGGCTGGTCCTGCTTGGAGCAGGGGGATGCACTAGATCTGACTTCCTGAAGTCCCTTCCAACCCTCTTTCTGTGATTAAGATGCCACAAAGGCCAGCTGTCCCTAAGAGGCAGCAGACTGAGAGGCCAAAGGAAGGTTGTAGGTGGCAGCAGCTTCTCTTGTTTTGCAGCTTGATTGTCCTGTTTTGCACTTTTGAACAGATACGCCTGTTTGCATTCACTTGCCAAAGCAAACCCCATGGCTCGGTGGGTCAGTGACCCGGTGGTCTCCCTTACCTTGGACTGGAGCGGTCTGTCTTATGGGAAGCCTGCTGGGAGTCCCTGTTTTTAACCAAGGATTGTAACTTGTGCAGCACCTGCCCTCTTTTGTCTGTGCTTGGTTTCTCTGGGGCAGCGTTGTAACGACAGCGGAGTATCAGTTGGTCTCTGCTATGGAAAGGAGAGCTGCTGAAACCAGGCTGCTACGCCATTGAGCTCCTCACTTCAAGGTGGGCTCAGTTCATGCCCTGCAGCTGATGCATCCATCGCCCTGCTTTGGCTTCTGGAAGCCACTCCAAAATGGCATGTGTTATATGGGAACCCGCCGCAGGCTGCTGTGTAAATAGAGTTGGTGCAAACAGGCCTGTGTACTCAAGTGGTGTGAATAGGCCTTCTGCGGGGGGGTTCAGCCAGCAAATGACTGAAAGCACAGAGGCAGATGTGCCTTCAGCCTTCCTGCCAGGAAGCTTCTTCCCCAGCTTGAGCCTGTAGCTTTCTGTGCTGGATTTTTATCATGTTACTTTTAAATTGTTCAGGTGGGTGATTTGCTGTTCAAAAACTCCATGCTGGTCACTGTTACCAGAGCCTTTTAGCCAAGTCACATCATTTCTTTATGGCTAAAAGCTGTGTTCAGCACTGACCTGTTCGCTTGTTTGGGACTTGATGGCACTGACATAGCTGAGGCAACTGCTGGTGTGGGGCACTTTCCTGTCCTGTCTGTGCCTGTTTAAGGTGGGTTGTTAGGCACGTCACAATAATCTCCAGTCTCCCAACCTGTATGGCACGAGAGTCCTAAAACCAAGGGAACGTGGCCCATGGATTTCAGATACACACCTAGCAGTGCTAATTTGAGTGGCACCCTTGGGAAGGAATTAGTAGCACCCTGGATGGGAACCACTAACTGGATTAAAAAAATAATATTTAGATTTTTGGCTTGCAACTCGGCATACCTGGTTGTTGCTTCTGAATTGGCTCACAGTTGATTATAATGAATTAACAAGGAGGGCTTGACTATGCAGTCCTCATTTGGGCTGTTAAATGGTAAATTAGAGGTGGGGGGAAATATTTCAAACTTTTAACGGTCTCCCTTTTCTGGGGTCCAAAATAGCATGCTGAAGGCTGGGATGGCTTGGCTGCACAGCAGCAAGAGGTTTATCTTGTCTCTGTCACAGCATCACTTGACTAGTCCAATTTCGGTGCTGCACTAAATTCAAGCCAACTTATTTTTTTGAGCACTTTTAAGAGCGTCTCCGCGAATGACAAAGCTGTACGATCCATCCTCTGCTCCAGCCTCCAGGTCTGCTGTATGAGCAGAGAAAAGATTTCCCATCTTTTACTAACCTGCTTTATGCAGATTTCTGGCTCAACTGTAAAACATTAAGTGGTTCTTTTTAACAAGCATTTACTTAAAAAACAGAACCAGACCCCCCCCCCCCCCCCCCCAACTTTCAGTGGCATTTCTGAGGCACTTCACAAAGAATAGGCGGGTTCTCTGGAAGAATTTCCCTTGGGAGATGTTAAATAGACCTCGATCTTAAATTGCAAATGGATATTGCCTTTGTGCCTCCATTACCACCTTTATGGGGGGCTTCAAGAGGAGGCTGGACAGATATTTGGCTGGGGTGGTATGACCCTGGTACCTGTTCCTGCCCGGGGCAGGGGGTTGGACCTGATGATCTCTTTAGGTCCCTTCTGACCCTAAGCACTATGATGCTACGGAAGGGGAAGCAAACGGGTGTCTAGACAATTTGCCGCATCACAAAAGTTAGTCCGCCAAAAGGAGGTGGTAGTTTCTGCCGCATTATTGCAGCAGGCATCTGTTAGCTTTATGGCAGGAGAGAACGGGCACCCTGGAGTTGCCTGAACTCTTCAGCTGCCCCAGGCAGGTGCTCGTGATCCTGCACACCCTGGGAATTCCTGCACAGGTTTGGACCCTTCAAGCCCTGGCTGCCTGGTTTTCTGACCCCTAACAAGACGTGCCCCCAGGTATCTCCTGGGCATGACTCTGAGAGGGGAAAGCTGAGGTTTCCCGTTTGCAGAGGTGCACACGTCTTTGCAAGTAGGATCCTCAACTTTCTCTGCTATGAAGACGCACCCTAGGGAGTTTCTGGGCATGCCTCTCCAAGCTGGGAACACATTGCCTGCTGTCCCACAGGATCAATGGGTAGGACGGAGGGCGATGCACGTTTCGTCCAGCGAAGCGGATCGGCCGTGCCAGGACACGTCCTGATCCACTTAATTTGGCAATGGCAGTAAGATTAGGGCTGTCTTTGGTCTGCAGGTGGCTGAGGGCTTCAGATGGCCCCAGAGAAGTGTCTTAACAGCTCCCTAAGGGGCAGAAGCAAGGTGGGAGCTTATAGGCAAAGTAACATGCTTTCTGCTCCGCACATTTTGAGTTCTTCCACCCACTTACAAAGAGATTGCTCTTATCAGCGCAATCTCCTGCATTCTGCGAATCACGTTTTAATTTTTCCAATGTGAAATTCATAGATAATCTTTCTTTGAATAGCAGAGAGTGCGTTGAACCAAGAGTCCCTTTTTCCTTAGCCTACTGGTCTGTACTATGTGCTTTACAGTTGTACGACCCAACCAGTAAGGTTGGTTTAGAAAAACAGGCCTGTCATGGCCCTCAGGAGGTCGCATGTAGTCCAGTCCCCTTGCTCAAGGCAGGACCATCCTTATCTAATCCTTTGTGCTTGTCAGATCTGCTTTTTAAAACTTGAGCAACAGTCCTCGTGCACAGGTCCAGGTGTAATGTCCCAAACACAAAAAAGATCATTTAATTTGCTAGGGGGTCAAGGGCACTGTCAGCATCCTGCCACTGCCAGGACAGGGAATAATTGGTTAAAGGAGTCTCAAGTGATGGTCCTCCAAGACGGAGGACCATGCCCCCTGCTAGAGGGAAGTGAAGGAGCAAGACCCTTTCACCAGGAACTAGCAGGAGCGTTGGCACAGCCCAGTTACCATCTTCAGCCTTGGTTGTAGCCAGCACCCAGTGTTTCTGAGCAAGTGGTGGGGAAGCCCTTTAATGTTCCTATATTAGATTTTAATTTTTTTATTTTTTTTTAACTTTCCTGATGTGCGTATTGGTGGACTCAGTAGAGAGGCTTTACCATGCTTTGTAAATTGGTGACTAGCAGATTCAAACTGCCTGGTGCTAGTGGCATGTTTGCAGTTGTAAAGCAGTAACAAAATATTAGATTATTTCTCTCGTAGCGAGTCCAGATATGCATTTAACTTGTGCCGCAGTCTCTGTTTAATACCCGGCATGCTCGAACAGGGCTGGCAGATTTAAACTATTGCTTCTTTCCAGAGTAAGAAATGCCCACCTTTTGTCTTGTCTGTAAATCCTATGCCTGATCTCTTCCCTTTGCCACCACGGGGTCTCTCACAATGGGACCTTCAAACAGAGGCTCAGCATGTTTCAGTGCACTTTATCCTAAGATGTTATGACCAGCAACGATGCCCATCACTTCTCCTGTTTAACTGGTGTCTTGACCCCCCCCAGCCCTTTCTTTCCCACTGGTAGAACATGGGTTTATTGTGCCCTAAAGACTCCTCCCCTCTACCCTTGCGGCACCTCCATTCTCTCCGTTTCATTTCCACTTGGAGATCCTCTGCCTATTTTCTCCGTGCCCTCCCAGCTTCCTGCTCCTGTCTTTCAGGCCTCTCAGCTGGCTCCTATCCTCCCGCATTAATGCTAACACTGGACCAGGTTCTCCAGAAAGGCGGTGGACTATCCATCCTTGGAGGTTTTGAAGACCCGGCTAGACAGAGCCTTGACTGGGATGATGTTGTTGGGGCTGGTCCTGCTTGGAGCAGGGGGTTGGACTAGATGTGACCTCCTGAGGTCCCTTCCACCCTCATTTTCTATGATTCATGATTCTACTCCTTGTCCTGGGCTCCTGAGGAAGGTTTCTCGGTCATCTTCCTCTGGAGGAGATGTCGTCTAGAGCAGAGTTGGCTATGCTGCTCTTCTTACATCCTCTGTCTTCCTTTTTTTTCCAGCCTCCTGCCCTGAGCGCAGTGCTTTTGAAGTGTTGTCCGTGGTGGACTCGACTAACCCCCTCCCGACCCCCGACACGTTCCGGGATGGCAGCTAGGTGACGACAGCTGAGGATGACCCTGACTGAAAAACTGCGCGAGAAGATATCGCGGGCTTTCTACAACCACGGGCTGCTGTGCGCTTCCTACCCCATTCCCATCATCCTCTTCACAGGCCTCTGTATCTTGGCCTGCTGGTAAGTCCTGCACAGTGCTTGTCTTCACAGGTTGTCACTTGGTGATGTGCTGTTCGTTTGTGGAGATCTTTGAGTGCGGAGATGGCTATAAGATTTCATTGCTATCCTGGAAGTATTTGTTCTAGCGTGGAAGCTTCTGATATTTCTTGTTCTTTGGAGGCAAAGACGGAAGCTCTGGATAAAACGTCTTGATTTACAAGGACCAGCTGATGAACGAACAACTCCAAACCAGAAATGAGAAGCAGGGGAAGAAATTAGCTCGGTATTCCTCTCCACCCCCACGTTTTCCACCTAAATCATTGTCCCTGCAGCTGTGTTACCTTATCTTTATGCAGCCTTACCCTGCCACAATGATTCTCCAAACTTTTTTGGCTCTCAAACTGCTTCTGAACACGATAATGGTTTGGCTTGAATGTTAGAGATGAATAAAAAAGTAACTGTCTCTAACCTCTCCAGCATCCTGAGGTATCAAGTTCTTCACTTGTTTCTTTCTCTTCCTCCATTTATAGTTCCTTTTTCCTTTGTTCCACTCTTGGTTACCCTCTGGAAGTTTTCTGCAGCTCTCCTGGGGGTTTGTGTTACCCCAGTTTTGAGAAACGCTGCCCTAGTACATCTTGTATCTCCCACAGAGTTAGCTCTTGGATTATCCAGAACACTCATGTAGGAGATTGTTACCCTTTAGATCAGCGGCCAGTTGGCACCGAGGAACCTGTTGTGCTGAACACATTATAGCTTCTGCCAAGAGGGGCTTAGAGCCTAGATCTCTGCCTAAAAATTTGGAAGGTAACTAAAGGATAATCTGTTGTGACCTGCCCCAGCTCTCCTTCGAAAAGGAGTCTAGCCCATGTTTGAAATTTATATTGATAGAAATTCTCTCTGAGGCCTGGTGTTTTTCTTGTCGTGCCATAGTTTCTTCCACCATGCATGCAGCTTTAAAAGGAAGCTGTTGTTACTGACATCTCTGCTTTAAGGAGAAATCTCTGAAAAACCTTGTTGTACAGCTACTGAATGGTGTAGGATAAAAGGGCCTTTGTCAGCATTCGGGGATAAAAGTGCAGAAATACTGGCTCTGGACTTGGAAAGGTCTTATTGGATATGAGGCCAATGATGAATGAAGGTGGATGAGGAGAGGCTGTGAGCTATGGGACCCAGCCTGGAGAAGTGAAGGCTCAGGGGAGACCTGGTGGCAGCCTGTAAGCATATCAGGGGTGTGCATCAGGATCTGGGGGAATGTCTGTTCACCAGAGCACCCCAAGGGAAGACTAGGTCCAACAGTTCCAAACTGCGGGAAGACCATTTTAGGCTGGACGTAAGGAAAAACTTCTTTACTGTCTGAGTGTTCAGAGTCTGGAATAGACTCCCCCAGAAATGGTGCAAGCACCTACTCTGGATACCTATCTTGCTGGGGTGATCTGATGCCAGTTGACTTCCTGCCCCTTGGGCAGGGGGCTGGACCCTATGATCTTGTGAGGTCCCTTCCAACCCTAATGTCTATGAAATCTGTGGGTCTTTCAAGTCTATTTAGCAATCCATATTTGCCCATCTCAGGAATTCAAGCATTGCTGGTATTGAATTGTCAAGGTATTAGGAGTGTGTTTTCACTAGAGTTCTAGCTGAACTCTTAAAAGGTGCTGCCTTCTTGCTGCTGACTCGATGACAACTATTTTGTTTTCCTGACTCTGGACTCAAAAATGTCTCTTCAGCCTGTTTCTTTGACAGGTCTTGCACTGGCGCTCAGAGTCAATAATGCCGTACTGGGTCATGCCAGCAGTTCATGTTCTTTTGTCTTGTCTGCTGCTTCATGCTCCACAGGAAGGCGACCCACGGACTATGTATCGGAGCAGTGCTGTAGCTGGGTGGGGAATCCCAGGACCTTAACCTTTTCCCACAATACACATTGCTGTGGAAGCCTCTCAATCAAATAAAAGACTCCCAAGGATATCGCCCATCTGCTGCCCTGCCACCTAACAATAGCCTGAAACCCTCAGTAAGAGCAATAAATCTGTCGATGTGCTGCTCCATGTTGCAGCACTAGCTCTGCCCAAGACCCTGGAAAGCCTATCCCAGACAAAGCAGGCAGTGGTTACTGCTAAGGGCGGGCTCTCAATTCCTTTTGGCTGTCATGGCAGCCTTCTTGAAGCAAACACAGAAAAGGAAGCTTTGTAATACACTGACAGTTTCTGCATATCGCCCTGCTCTTGAAACCGAAGAAGCTAAGCTGTGTCTGCATGGTGCCACTGCCTGAAGAATTGGCCCTGACAGTTGGTAGTTCTCACTAGCCAACTCTCAGTGCTGTCTGGACATGGCTGTGCTGCTTCTGGTTTTGGAGGCAGCCTGTGAGGGGGAGTGTGTTGTACACCTTTGCTAGGGACTAAAGTCACCTTGTAGACGTGGCCATCTGCTCTGGTGTAGTCTTGGTGCTCCTTTTCGATCCAGATAAGAATTGCAGAAGAGTTGTCCAGCTGGTTGAATGAATATGCCGAACAGCATGAGCGATGGAGGAGATTAAGTGGAAATATTCCCCAAATAGTGAGGAAGTGGCAAGAAACTTCAAAGTGTTGTATCAGGACCCCTCCCCCAAAAAACAAAAAAAAAAATGAATGCCAAGTGGAGAGGAGATGCAATCTAGCTCTGCACCTTCACGACTCACTACAGTTCCAATATTGGTTAGTAACAAACTTCTTTCTCCATCCATTTGAAACTCTGGAGCATGCAGACAGTAAGTTTATCACCTCTAAGGGAAGAAAGAGGCTTAGGGCTACATGCCCTCATCTTCCTCGTTCCCAAATACTGCTGAGACTGGGGAGTTTCCAACTTGAGATGCTTTTGCAGGAATCTGTTCAAGAAACAGTTTGGGATGAAGGCTGCCAATTTCATTGGAGCAACAATTTAAAAAGGGGATTTTTTTTTTCCTTTATTGCTGATCTTTATCTGAAGTATGCTTTCTTTTTTTTTTTTTTTTTTTAAACAAGCCTTCCCTCACGGCTCCTCCTAGCTTTCAGTGCAAGAGGCTGTTAATGGTATGCTGCTTTTAACTTTTGGCCTACCTACTTCCCTCGGGGTGCTTTCCAAAGTACTGGTTCAAGTTCCTTGTTTTCTTCGATCAAGAAGGGCTCGTGTGTGCCCATTTGACAACTATCTGCTCATTTGAGCATTTTATGTAGAGAAGGTTGGCAAAGTAGGTTGTTTTTTGTTTGTTTGTTTGTTTGGTTTTTTTGTTGTTGTTTTTTTTTTTTTTTTTTTTTTAAGCAGTCAGTATTCATTTTTGGCTTAACCTAGGTTTGCTACCCCTACCATGAGTGCAATGATGCTGTAGTTGGTATTGCATAGGGGAGTGAGAGATGTCTACCTCCATACAAGTGTATTTCTTGAAGGACAGGATTGAGAAGCTTGTGACCTCCAAGGCCCCGTGTTACTTGTTCTCCATCTGTCAGGACTCGACCCGACTAGAATGTAGGTGTCTTGCACTAACATACAGTTGTCAGATTCCTTGTGCTTTAATGTCTGGAGTGCACAGAACCCAGCATCCCCATCTTCACTCATTCTGTGGTGAAAAGGGTACTTGAAGGACTTGAGTACATCAGAATTGGAGAGGATAATTGGAGAAAACCAATGCCAGCTTCAAGAAAGAAGTGTATTCAAGCTTCGGTTTCATCCAAGGCTAATAGCACGGACCTCTGACACAGCGTTAATAATAGTACAAATCCATAATAATTGGATCAGACTCTGAGCATTTGGGCCCTAAGAGCTCTGATTCATGATCTACTTGTGAGGTGATACAGCACTTTGATGAAAACTCAACAAGAAAGGAAGTCCCAGAACCTCAGTCCTGCTATAGTCATCTAGTATCTGTTTTAGGAGAAATGAAAGAAAGATAGAAAAGTATAAAAAAAAAAAAAAAAAAAAAACCTAAAAAAACACTTCTGCTTTTTTTTTTTTTTTTTTTTCAAGCTTAATGCAAATAGAAAATAAACTTAACTCATTATAACATAATAACAATCATGATGATAAATGTAGTTGGTTTAAACAGGAAGAGAGTAGATCCTAAACTCTGAATGGAAGACTAAGTTTGGAATCTATCATGAGGCACATAAAGGAGCACAAGATGACCAGAAACAGCCAGCATGGATTCACAAGAGCAAGTCCATGCCAGACCAACCTGATTTCCTTCTATGATAGGATGGCAGGTTCTTTGTATGGGGGTAAAGGAGTGGCTGTGATGTACCTTGATGTTAGCAATGCCTTTGACACGGTCTCGCATGCCATTCTCCATTAACAAGGTAAGAAAATATAGATTAGATCAGAGTACTGCAAGGTGGATATGTAACTTGTTGAATCATCATGCTTGGCAAGTAGTCATCAATGGCTCAATGTCCAGTTGCAAGGAGGTATCAAGTAGATTCCCCAGGGGTCAATACTGCATCTAGTATTGTTCAGCATCTTCTTTAATGATTTGGGCAATGGGATTGAGTGCACACTTAAACTTGAGAATGTCACCAAGTTAGATGGAGTTGCACATACTTTTGGAGGGTAGGGCTAGGATTGAAAATAACCTAGATAGACTGGAGTAATGGTCTGCAATCAGTCAGATGAGACTCAGCCAGGACAAGTGCAACGTTCTGTACTTGGGACAGAATAACTCTATGCACAGGTATTGACTTGGGTGCAGTACTGCAGGGAAGGCCTGGGGGTTGCAGTGGGCCATAACCTGAATTTGAATCAACAGTGTGCTTCTCCAAAAAAAAAAAAAAGCCAACAGTAGACTGGGTTGTATTAACAAGAGTGTCACTTGTAAATCAAGGGCAGTGATTCTTCCACTGTGTTCAGCACTGGCGAGGCCACATCTGGAGTCCTATGTCCAGTTTCGGTCCCTGTACTTTGAGAAGGATGTGGATAGATTGGAAGGAGTCCAGCACCCAAAGTGACAAAAAGGCTGAAAGGGTTAGGGTTATTTAGTCTGGTGAAGAGAAGACCGAGATGGAATTTGATAAGTCTTCAAA